GGGTAGTGTAAATATCTTTGGTCGGCTTGATGCCCATGTTGAGCATCTTTTGATAAGTCTTAAATACCATGTCTATATCATTCTTTTTGCTATATCCAGTCATTAGAGAATTAAGCATTGAATCATTAGGCGGACTAAAATATTCGGTCATTTCATCCACCAATACTTCAGCCAATTCCATTTCTCCTTTTTTAGAAAGTTTATGAATAATGGTACTATAAAATTTTATCCTAGGTCTCTGACCCGATAAATTGTACAGCCTGAGTACTTCTAAAGCAGCATCAATATTTTCATTCTCACAGTACACCTCGATTAATGAGTGATACCATTCGCAGTCAGCCTCAAAGTGACTTACAATTATTGCATCAAGAATCCTGTATGCTGATACAACATCAACACATTGCTTTACGACTTCTTTAACTTGCGGTCTTTCAATGTAATATCCCAAAGTTGTCATTTGCCTTATAATATCGGTTACAATCTTAGCATTTCCTAGTCGTGCTGATAATTTCAACACTCGCGCATAAAGAATAGGTCTTATTAAACTCCTTTTACGAAATAAATAAACGTCTTTCATTACTTGGTCAAGTAATTCGAAAGTCCTCTTGTCTGGGTTAGCACATAAAAGATTAAGTAATAATTCCATGTGGTCTATTTGCATATGGACCATAAGATCGTTATCCACAATGTTTCTATAAATCTCCCAAGCCTTCTCACGATCATTCTTATAAAAATATAATCTCTCTATAAGGGTTTTGAATTCATTGAAATTTGTCGAAACTAGCTTTGTCGATACGGAATTTTTTGTTAGCGTTGAATCGATTGAAATATCATTATCCGACTTATAATCGTTTGATGAAATCTTTCTAATGTGAGGACGACGGGCAAGACTAAAAGCTGGTGAAAACCGAAATGTTTCGTCAAAATGACGAAATACGAAGCTCCTGAAGAAAATTATGAATGGTGATGGTAGACGGAATCCCTGGCAAAAGATGATGCCCCTATCAAAAGAAAAATTAGAACTTCTGCCAAAAGTAAAACCTCTATTAGCACACATCACAAATACAACCAGGAGATCTACTATCAACTGCAGATGACTTCAATTTCATCCTATAATTCTGGTTGGATATGGAAAATCTCGCTGTTGATTGGACAAAATTAATACGCGTTTAGGTAGAATCATATTGTAAATCGAATCGTTTCAAAGCAATGGACGTGTTTATAACAACAAAAGAAAAATATAGGAAAGATAGCTTTTTTTTATTGAATTAGACATTGTTGCAACATATTACTTTAAGTCCTAAATTGATATCGTATTCTATTTGTGCTCGGAAACGCGAAAAAATGCCTATAGCTCAAAAGCTTACCAAGACAATCTAATTTAGCTGACTTTAAAATTTATTTTACATAAAATTTTTTATTTTGGATTTGGCTTTATAAATTAAATTAATGTTAGAATTTCAAAAACAATTATGATTTTTTTTTTGCAATTAAAATTTTTTTTCGTTGTTATATTAAAATAATGCGCCAAAATCCCAATCAAAACGTTTATTAATAGATATCAAGACTATTTTTTTTATTAACAGCAATTATTTTTTTTTTAGTTTGGGAATTGTCCAGTTTTTGTTGGCAAGCATACGAATATGAACAGAATCTTGATTTTTTTCTTTAGAATTATAATTTTGGAAAATATTGTAAACATAATTTTCAACCTTGTATAAAACTAGATCAAAAGAGTTTAAAACAACAGCTAAACAGTAAAAAAGAAGGGTTGGCCATTTTGTGTAAGTTACTAAAGATATATTTTAGTTTATGTAAGTTAAAATGTAAGTTAAAATTAAAAA